TTTAAGACCGTGTACTTGTCCTGTATTTAATTAGAGCAATTTCCCTTATGTAATTCAATCTGTTTTGTATTAACATTACGTTCGTCCAGATTCTAGAATTCTAGAACAGGGTTTGTTCGTTCAGTAATTTGCACGTCAAAAAGTCGTTTAGATGGAATAGAAGAGGTTTTTTTTAATTTATGCTTAAATTTATGCCCTGGGCAAGTAACATGGCGCTTTTCTTTACACAGGGTTTACTTCTATCGTTAACTTCTTAACGAAGCATTCGTACAGTTCTTTTAATTTTAACTTTACCCATAAAATATAATGGCAACTTAAACTTTGAACTTTCAGACACGCTGTATGAGAAGATTAAACAAATATTCTACTCGTGATGATTAATAACAAGATTCCAATATCCCACGGCTGTTAATTTTCTGTTCATCTTCGTCCGACGATAAGATAGATACGTTTAATTGACGATTCGTCAGAAGTATCCAAATAAACGACATTTCGTGTGCACCAATCTGACACAAATACACAGTAACACTTTTGTCAACATTTTAACGGAATTAACACGTTCCCACGCGATGAAACGAATTTCTAGACTTATGACGTATGCAAGTGCTTGAAACACGCGTGCTTCAATATCAAAACATAGCCGTTCGTTCCCCCTTGATGGCTAATATTCCATCTAACAATCAGAGATGTAGATTCATGTAGAATCTAAGGCACGCAAGTGGACGAGCTGCCTTCCCTCGTTCACATTTTTTTTTCGAGCGAAGTTCGATTTGAAACCTGAATTGAATGCGACCCGCGCGAGAAAGACCAACAGAAGAGAAAGGAAACCAACTCAGGGTCTGTAATCCCGAAAGATAAATCATGCTTCGTCGCTTAGTCGACACGAGGCAAGATTGTACGTACACGTTGCAATCGATTCTAGTCACGGCGAAATACTTACAGGGATACACCGATATATAACATAAACCAAAGGGCGTTCACAGCGTTCACGCGTGCACGTAAGTAAGTATAGCTGACGCTGATTATTTTCAAACTTGAATTGAATTGAGTCTTTGCGGCGGAATTGACAAACGAACTAGCGAGATTTTATAGCGAAAAGGAAGAAAAGAAACAGAGAAAAGAAAAGAAAAGGAAAGGTGCGAAACATGCGGTAGAAACACAGCTACAGCTAGTATACACTTGATAACTAACGTGATATTTAACATACTACGTTGTTTCGTTATATTCTTTTAGATACATTACATTATACGTATTATTACAGACTGATAGAAATACGACGATGAAAACGATCGTGAAAAATCGTAAACGATCGAACGTATTTAACCTTTTTCACGATACTTTTGAACAATCGGATTTCGTAACTTACGTTCGTATGTACCGCGTTCGTTACTCTACCTCTTCCGTTTCCGTCGATCTCCGTATCTACTTTATCCGTTTCATACTTGCGAGAGAAAGACTAATCCGCCAGGAGAATTTATCGCTGTCAGAAGTGATACAACGAAGATAACGTTGAAACCGTAGGCGACACTTTGCTAATAGAGATTTACATATATTGTTTATACTGTACCGAAGAAAAAAAAAAAAAAAA